ATGCGAGCCTGCAATCTAGAGAAATCACCAGGATCCACATCTAGTTCGTATGCATCTACTGCCACAACCACCTCCGCATTAGCCTCTCCCGTGCCTGTTTCTACAGTTGCCTCTGATCTAGAGATGCCATCGAGATTCGCCATCTCCGGTGGTGGGATGTTTTCCCATGGAAGAGGCCCCAGGTCCCCAATCCTATCAAGACGCTTAAAGTGCATACTGTGGCTGTTTACAACGCGTATGACATATGGTTGGAGAGGTGTGGGCGAGCACAGCTCAGTGTGACAAAATGGAGAGCGACGCCACCACTGCCCGTCATCAGCATGACAAGAAAAGAATGAGTCAACTGGTGTCTACAAAAAGTGTAGCAACTGCTAAGATCATCCACTCGGTGGCCCACGTCAGTTGGTTATTACGCATGTCTTGCAAAACCTTCTGAAAGTGGTCCTTTGGGTTGTCCACGGCCTTCTGCGCCTCGTCCTTCTGTTGAATAGTTTTGGCCTGATGTAGCGCATTCTTAGCATCTCCTGCAACAGCTGCCTGGGCAAGCTGACGAAGCTGGTGGTGTCTCGCGATGATGTCAGCAGCGCGCTGGCGGATTAAGTGGTGGTGTGCCTCACTGCCGCAAATTTCTTTGCTAACAGCCCGAAAAAAAACAAGAGCCATCAGCAGCAATATCATCAATAAGACAACCCTGCACACTGTTAGGGACTGTGTACTCCCCTCTGCCCCTGATGTGCCTAGGCTCGCTCTTTGGCATAGTGGGAAATTGGGAGAGAATGTGTGCTCGCCAAATGGCACTCTCATAGTTGGCCATTGCAATGGCCTCCTTGCATACTGCTCCTGTCGCCATCCCCTGGGATACTGTGGTGGGCACGACCGGTGTCACCATTGTGCTTGGCTCCTGCGGTATCAATGGTTGCAGTAATGCTGTCTGAATCTTCTTGTCTCTTACTTTAGCCTGTTTTGCTGTCCTCGCCTGCTCAGTTGTCTGCTCCATCATTGCCGGTTTTGCTTGTTTGTTGTTCTTGCCCGCTCAAAAGCTCTTGTCCGCTTGGCTACCCTTTCCCTCTTGGCTGCCCTCACCCTCTTGGTTGCTCTTGCTCGTTCGGATGTCCGCTGTGTCATCAAAACTTTGGTTGCTTTAACCGACGTTTCATGCATCTTTGTCCTCTTGGCTTTTCGCGTTTGCCTAGCTGTCTGAGTATGCACCTTCTCTGTACTTTTGTGCTTTTCTTGTTGGGGTGCCCCTCTTCCGCATGTCTCCCTCTGTGCCTCATAACGTGCGTCTGCCTGCCTGCTCCTCCTCAAACATCGAGCATCTCTGGCCATCCTCTTGCTCGCCCTGTTAGCGGCTACCTTATACATCTCGCTATCTCTGCACACCTCGTCATCCACGGACTCCCTCTGACGTATCACTGATGTCCTACTTGTCTCCCTGTATATGGCCACCATATCCGATCTTGCATCTACCTGCTTGCCTGGCATCCTACTCTCCAAAGTCTGGAAGACCCTCTTCCACGGGGCCCCATGCCGCTGGCAAATCCGCCTGGCCGCCTCCCACATATCTGCATGTCCAACCCCGCAGCCACCAGTACTAACATAACTACCGTGCTATATGGCGCGGCAAGATGCACTCCAGTGCCAGTCTAAACCCCAGTATATAGCTCGGATAATGTTCTAGTCCGTGGGGTTGTCTGTCTCCTGATCAGGGTATGGTGTTGTATCCTCATCTGAGTCGGCCTGCGCATGCTGAATATGCTGGGTAAGAGCATCCTCATCTGCGGCTGCATCTTGTATCTGTTGCACCAACTCCAACTGGTCAGGCGTCTTGTTCCCACACCACCCACAGGCATTTTTGAGTCTAGTCAAGGCTGCAAATATCTCATCGGTCACGCCATCGTCATTTGCACCCATCCAGTGCTTCTTGATTTCTTGACAAGCCTCAGCGATCCTCTGGCGAATGGTAATAAATGGTAGTATGCATTGTTCTATTTGCGGTTGGCGCTCAGGGACGTCTGGCATCCTATCCCACCGGGGGTGGTAGCACTCGTGTAGACTCAAAAGGTTATACCTCAAAATAAGCTCTCGCATCCGGCGGAGTGAATCGACGCTATAACCCGTAACCTCAATATGCGTACCACCAATGTAATCCATAGCGCCAAGCGTCGTCATAATGGAACCCGTGAACTCTTCCAAACGCTCCACTCGAATCTTTAGCGAGGCTCGGCTCTTCGGCCGGTCATCCATCAACGTCCTGCTCACAAAGGCAAGAAGGGCATGTACGGTCTCACTGTATATCTTGACGCGCCAGTTCCATACCTCCTCGCCAGAGGCCCCACGCGGTGAACCACTGTGGCCCGGGGTTCAGTCCCGTCAGCCGTCCCCTATCGGGGACGAGCGGTGGGATGAGGCATCGCGATGCTATTGGATTGTTCATGCAGACTGGTGCGCCGGCTCGCGGCACACCGGGACCTGCGATTGGCAAACGCACTATCAGTTTTGAATGCATTGGTACACGATGGCAGCGCTGTGTGTGATGCGCCACAGGCTGCAGCAACGTGTCCTTTGGCAACTCCAGGGGTTCCCCAGTGGCGGGCTTGCTCGTTCCAAGCCTTGCCAAAAGGGAGCCCTGATCCTTTGCCTCATGTGATGGAGAGGTCTTAGGACTGTTGTGGAATAAATGTACAATATGTGCATGTAGTGTTATTGTCATGTTCTTTAGTAAAAATTTGTCACAACCATCGTGGGCCCTCTTTGAGCAATCCACAACTGCCTTTGCGCTACCCCGCCTGCCTTCCTAGGTGCGTGTGTGCTGTCAGCCTTACCGTCCATGGCAGGCTTGTTATTTATGTTTTACCGTGTAAAAGCGTAAATAAAATAATTTGCAAAAGGAGCTATTGTTACGGCTTTATTACGTTTTTCCGGCTCGCTGTGACACCTTGGTTACACAATGAAAGTGGTGTACAATGATCAGCCGCACCCTCCAGTACCTGCAACACAGCGTTCACCACCCGGCTCGCTAAGTCTGTATACACTGTCCTTACATACACGGGCTGTATTCACGTCGCATTTACGTATTTTTACGTGCAAAAATTGTAAAAACAACTTTTATGCGTAAGAACCTAAATACGATCAATATTTATTGTGCAAAATAACAAGTCTGGTCTGGGGTGACGCCCATCTACCACAGCCACGGTACCTGCCCCTTTGCCACCTTCGCCTACTGTTTATGTTGCCCATTGTATCTAAACAAATTAAGCCACTGAGGGGGGTTGCAGCTTTCATCAAGAGCGACTACATGAGCAAGAAATCAATGTATAGGGAAGATTCAGTACACAAGAGCCGTTTACATATGTCCCGGGTAGTTGCCCATTATAGCTAAACAAATTAAGCCACTGAGGGGGGCCGCAGGTTTCATCAAGAGAGACTACATGAGCAAGAAATCAATGAATAGGGAAGATTCAGTACATAAGAACCATTTACCTATGTTCGGGGTGAGGAGTGACTCCCAAAGCAACCCGACCCGCCCTTGTACCACCTCCCGCCTGCGCAATGGTGTGGTGATAGAGTGTCTGCTGACTGGCAGCCGGCTGCAGAACTACCACAAAGGATCAAGGTAGTAATGGCGACGTCATGGCAAAGAAGGCATAAAAAATTTCTGATGTCAGGGACCCTTAGCCTCCGCGGGCACATGATCCGCTTCCTGTGCCACAACAGGAAGGGGGTCGTGTGGCTTGGGCAGCTACAGCGACCCGGGGTGCCAACAGCCACATGCTGGCGCCCTGTGCCGCGTCAGGGTGGCCAGGGGGAAGCTGGCAATGGCACTGACACCGCACGTGCTGCAGTGCAGCACCCACGTAGCAGCAGCCCGGGGACCATGTGGGGGAGCGGCAGGCTTTAATTTCGCACAGCCGCTGATGGTTGAAAGACCCTCGCAATTCTGTGCTGGTGATGGTGGTGATGATAATGACAACGAAGGATCCTTCGTGTCGAACACCAGGACCTTTGAATGTTCTGCTGGGAACAAATGCTTCTGCCCCATTGCCAACTGCCTGGTGGATCCTCCTTCGAAGCCACCGTTGAAGCCTGAGTCACCCTCGATCTTTGGTAGTACTAGGTACCAAAATGGTAGTAGGTACCACATTCCAAAGTGATTGAGATATTCCTGCAGAAGGCCGTTCATAATTCATACCGTCTTGAGGCCCAAGATCTTTGGAACATTGTACGACTGCTGACCGCGATGACACATGGCAATTGCCGATCACTACAATCTTGTACAGCTGTAGCCCCAAAGATGCCTGCATATGTCATATCTCTTTGTTTTTCATTGTCCGGTCATGTTACGTCATGGTCCTGGGGATGCTTGTTCCATTCGGTCGCGTCTCGTCGGCGTCTTGAAGGTCCTCTCCCGCTGTTTCCCTTGGGCTGCGGCAGGCCGCGATGGCGCCCAAGAAAGACAGAGCACACATGATGGCCAGGGGCCCGCGCAAGCCAAGGGACATAAATAGTTCCTGAGCATGAAAATTTTTGTCAGGATCCAAGTTCCACGACATTTTCTCTGTTCACAAAGTATTGAACTGTCTGAACAACGCCGCATAACAGACTGTTATGGCTTTCAGCATACACAGTCCATGCTAAGATTCTTCTATCAATTCCGCGAAATGCCACATTCAGAGTTGTGGCCACGTCCAAGAGAATTCGTCCCGAGGGAGTGCCAGGAGCAGGCCAGTTGAATACGTTTTGGGCATTGCAAATACTGTAACGCAAATACGCGCAGTTATGCGTCGTCGCAAAAACGTTTATAGAAACGCATAAATTCATTGCATCGACACGGTCATGTTAAGTGCAGTCGCAAACAGACGTTCAGTCCGCCGCCTCCTTCAGCACCCCCGACACATCCACATCGCCCTGGCAAAGGGCAATGGCACTGTCGAACAAAGGCGGCTGAGCCTTGGGTAGAAATTGTGCAAAATGGACGTATGTATTTTTTGCTGCATCACCTGCGCTGCGAAAGGTGCGAAGAGGCAGCCCAGGTTGCCCACCAGCGTTCCCACCCCCAGTGCCAACGATCGGATGTCCGTTGGATAGAGCTCTGCAGAAGCAAGAACCCAGCGCTTTCACACATATTCGCATACATATATTTTGAGGCTGTCATTCTGGCATTCGAAGTAGCACCAATTGCGTTGCCTAAGCCTCAAAGTTGTCAGAGGATATTTGCGCCCCTGGGCATCGAAAGAGACATACCCCAATGTACGCATCTTCATGATGTGGGTCAATTCGCATTCCGCAATCTGGTCACTAGCATGATTTCCATCCCGATGCATTCTCAGCCCTATGGCTAAGGCTTCCAAGGCATGCCATTTTGCACACAACGCGCATTGAAGGTAATGTGCAGGTTGACATTATTGGTCCATTATCTGCACGATTCGCACTGCTGATGCGCAGTGCATTCAATAAGTACTGCAATAAATTATTCGATATATTGCAGAAATTGTGGTGTCAAAGAATTAAAATCTTTTGCCGCGATCAGATCGGGAATCAGGTTGGGCGAAATGGCCCACATTCGGCCTGGCAAGTGTTACACTTGACCAGTGTAGGTTGGAAGCAGCTCTGCTGCGAAAATGGGGAAGGGAAGGAGACCCACCAGGGATGTACACCACGAGTAGGGAGAAGGCAGCGTAGGCTACAGAGCGGAACGCCAGCAGGGAAATTGTGGTGTCAATTGTGGGATCGATGAGCAGGGGTGCAAGCGCCACAATGGCAGCGCAGAATTGAGCCGTCAGCGACCTGCAGCCGCAAAATTCGACAACATCCACAGAGGCAGGCCACATAGCTTCAATTTCTGTTCACCGTTTGGGCGAATATCATGTTCATAGCATCGCATGATGAATATCATGATCTTGGCATGATGCTGTCATGTTGATTCATCAGCAAGTCAGCGACAGCAGGATGGTAGACAAAAAACCGCGATTCAGAGGCAGGTTTCGGCTGCCAAAGGTTAGACACTGAGGGTATGATGCAGGGACCGGAAGAGGAGGTCCACCACAACTCAAGGACTATGCGAAACCGAGAGAAAATATGGACTTTAGCACTGCTGTGTTTACGCCGGAATTTGTCAATGACGCAAAGGCAGAGAGCGAGCGTGCATTTAAGTATATGCCCAAGCACATTTTCGCTGCAGAAACGAGAAAAAGACCTCAAAAACACACGTTATGAATTTCGCAAATTGAACAACGTCCTCTGCCATGCCATTTTGGAACGGCCGTGGATTTCCTCAGCATGGCGTGTTGCACATGGTCCTCACATATTTCGATTCAGTGTTTGGCTTCAACTTGGGCCGCCCATTTTCGCCCATGCACTTTGACAGCACCCATTGTTGCAACATGGGCGATAATATCTGTGGTATGGCACATAGATATCGACATGTATTTCCTTGGCCTTGTTTTCTTATCTGCATATCTGAAGATGCTGATTAGCGTTGAAGCAGTTGCCTTGAGAACACGTCTTCTCCAAAATAGAGAAAAAACTGTTTCAAGACTGCCGCTCTCAGAGGACCACGCTCAAACATGACTTCATCTCTCTTCAGAGCACAGCAACAGGAAAAAAAGGGCCAAATAACACTTTTGCGAACGCACATAAAACACATGTCATCGAATTTCTGCACGCTAAGAACACAACAATAACACCAACCAGTAAACTTTGTACACGTTTGGACACGCGTTACTTGGCCCTTTTTTCCTATTGAAGAGTGGTGAAAGGCTCAGTACTCAATAAGGAGTAATTGTCTGCCCCATGTTAATTGTCCTCTATGGCTTTAGTGCCTTGCTTCCAATGGCAATTCGATTTTTGGTGAAACTTTGTCTAAAGTTGCGGCCACGAGCCTAAATTCACAGTTAAAATTCGAGTCAGTCCGTTGCATATTGTGGCCGAGCGTGTTTCGCAAACGCCATGCCGCGCGCACTGGATGCTGCCCTTCATCATGAGAATCGGTAGCGACTTTGCCACTAGTAGGCACGAGAGCAGCTTAATACCATGGGGGCATCCAGGGACGCGGAGTCTGCATGCTTAATTTTGGGACCGAGCAAGGCCATGTTGAGGGCAGTTGCAGGGGGTATGTTTGACTAATTTGTGTTGAAATTAGTAGCCAGGGGTGTAGGGACCGAATCTATCCTCTTCTGGCATCCCCTAACTATAGAGTCACGAAATTTGTCCGTTCAAAAGAGAGCGATTGATATGGGATAGAGCCAGACTGAAGCACTGCAGTTACCATGGAGTTGCTGTAGAGCAGTTGCAGTACCAGTCAATATGGATTTACTGTGGAGCCAATATGTAGTCTGTGCTTGGCCGCATCACTTTACAGACAAAGCGTTCTTCGTGGAAAGCCGTTTGGCAATCTACCAGGCGGCGCTCGAATGCGATTGTGAGCCATCTCACAGTTGATCGCTGCACAGGGCGATCTCGCCGGTCTTAGGTCTTGGGTCTTGTGTGGAGAGCGCTCTTGTGCTGGCAAGGCTGGACTCTCATCGTCTGAAAAGGGGACGGTTGAAAAATCGTTGCGCGGCAGCAGTTGGTACCGCACCTAAATTGCTTTGCTCAGCTTCGGCTAGAATCGCTCATAATTGTACCTTAAGGACAATGCTCTTGCTTATTGAAGAAATTAAGTATTGCTGCTGTCCTCTTGCCGTTTCCAGCAGTACATTTGTGCTTGCATTTTATCATACGTTCATCGCTGGTCGCAACACACATCGGTTTGGCTCACCTCCTGCGCCCAGCCCAGTCTATCATCACAATGTCGAGCATGCTGCCGATGCCATCCGCTAACGACACGATGAGCATCTCCTTGTAGGCCTTCTCCGAGAGCGCAAAGCTGCCGCTCCCACAAGACCCCACCTTCTCCGCGTGGACTTGCGCGGTGAGGATCAACACGCAGTTGTACGCAAACATCGCGGACACGGACATGGACAGAGCCACGGCGGTCGTCCATCGCAGGGGCCTCGAGACCAGACTGCAATAAAACAATGACTCGATGATGCAAAAGAGATTAACACCTGAATTATATAGGAATGAGATTATGAAACGCACTAAGAATATAGGTTAATATACAAATAAGAGAGTAGTAATTGCACATGTTAAAATCGCCTTGTTCAGCCAAGTTGATTTCGGTCAAGTTGATGTCTTGCTAGACAGCAGAGAGCAGCGCATCAGCGATGCCGCACGCTGAAAAGAGGAAGTACCGTGGCACGAGCCATGGCCTGAGGCGGTCTATCAGTTATGCATATGAGACAATTCTGCGCAAGTGCAGAAGACATGTCCAATGGCATCGCGACCACCATCGGCCCTTGCAGTCCCTCATGGACACCCAGGAAATTCCAGAGATTGCGTTTGTCGTGCATTGGCACAGCGTGGCATGAGCCAAATGGCTCAGGGGTTTGTAAACCCTGCCGGTTCCCCTTTCCTCAGCTACCTCCACCAATTTGACTTCCTTCAACCTGCGCAGCTGCTACATGAACTCACAAAAAAGTGCAGTTTTTTCTGCACACTGGTAAAGTCCCATATCCGAATGTGGAATAGGCCATTGGCAGGGGGGGGGAGAAATCCTGGATATCGTATATGGTATGGGTCCAATATCCCGAATATGCATATCCAGAATATGGGGGCCTGTATCCTGGGAACGTGGGCGTTTCCGGGATATGTACATCCAGGATGCTTAACTCTTGTTTCCACATATCGTAACTAATATATACCATGCACAAAGGTGTTCACCATACTCACCATACTTAAAAAATACATTCTAAAACAACGCGCTTCTCAACATGTTCAATATACTCACAAATGTTGACACATTGACAATGCCTCAATATCCCAAGTGCAATGTGCGCAAGCAAGCCCACCTGCCAAGGTCTCGCAAGCATTCGTGGACAATGTCGCGCAAAGATTTGTCATCCACAACCTTGTTGTCCAGGCTCTCCAGCCGCACCCCCGCCCCTAGGTGCACGTTGTTCATCTTGGCCACGCGCCTCAAAGCCTCCATGGCCTTTTCAGGTCCGCCCTCCACAGCGAGATAGTGAGCAGACTCGGGGAAGAGGGGGAGAAGCGCGAAGACGCCAACTGCGTTGCAATGGGCCACTTTTCAACACAAAAGAATCACATCCACCAGCAGTAATGATGTTGATCATTTCGTGCAATTTGATGATTTCAATTTTTTGGGCACTTCCCTATATTTGGGTCGCGTTCAGATTTTGCTGAATCGTTGAACATCATGTATCTGCAATTCAAGATTTGCACTGCAAACCGTGTTTTGCAAGGAAAAAACTCACGAAAACAACACAAAACTGCTTGCGATTTCTGTTTGTGAAACTAATCGATCAACAATTAATTATTGTGAGAGGAGTTTACGATCTGCCGCGTCGAATGGTGGCTTCGGATGGAATCAGTTTAGCACGGTCAGCGACGCTTCTGATATTGGGACAGCTAGTTTCACACCCAAGGCAAAAGATTTGCAACCGATTGTGCTTTCATTCACTCCTGACGAGTTGTAACATCTGACAGTCTACACGAATCTCTCCAGCACACTCCGAGAGGAAAGGCACATCTGGAAGAACTTTGAAGTCCTTGTTAAGCACCGTCCGGAGCTTGTTTGTCATCGTGGTGTGGCTTTCTATTCCAATAGCCATGGTACAGTGAGCAACATGCTTCACATGAAAGGAGGCACCGATGATCTTTTCAATGAAGTCCCCAAGGTCTATGAATTTGCAAATCTTTACGATGTCGTAGTTGCATTTCATTGGCGTCCCAGAGAGCACCCAGAGCAAGTCATAGCAGATGAGCTTTCCAAGATCACCGATATGTCAGACCTAATCATGCGTGAGCCTCATGAGGTTTTCACAGCATTTGCCAAGCTTGGGAGTGTCCATCTCTTTGGATGTTTTTGCAAGTGACTATCCGGGTAGTGCTAAGGCAGATTGTTTTTTTCAAAGTTTTGGTGCCCATGCACAGTAGGTTGTGCCTTTAAATTTTCTTGGGCGATCAACCCCACATCCGGCCATTGGGAACTTTGTTGGATTTGGACTTTTATATCAGATAGGTAGGATTATCAAGAAGATCACACATGAGCAATGCAACGGCATCCTTATCGCCCCAACTAGGACTACTCATTGGACAACACAATTACACAATGGCGCCCTTCCTTTACACAAGGTTTGGGATGTCCCCCATGGGCCTACACCCGTCTACCCTTAACCCCGCTTCTCTTCGCATCACAAAGACCAATTTTGGTTGACCTATGGCCTTCAGGCACGCTTGATTCGTTGGCCTTCAGTGCAAGATCTTGCTTGCCCTCGTTATACCCGACCGTCAACTGCTTGGCATCCTTGTGTCGCCTCTTGCACTTGGGTCGGCAACGATCTAAATATCGACGTGCAATTTGAATCGTCATTACTGCACACCCAGCTATATCTGCCTCCGACCACCCAAGTTCATACCGCTTATATTGCATTGACCCACGCTTCAAGTTATGTAGCGTCTCTTCCTGCCACATCCGAAACTCGGCCAAAAATGCTTGAAAGCTCTTTTGCATAGTGCCACTATTCAACGCCTTTTCTTCCAGGCACTCAGTACCTCGATGAAATGGCCGCACAATGAATGACACAAACGGCTGCCCAATGTGCGCGCATATCCTCAGGAGCATTTGCACGCTTCTGATAACACGTTCGTGCCATGGTCCGGCAGATCCCACCCTCATAGTCATTGCACCTGCCCTTTTGTTCTGGCAATTTTAGTCTATTCCATACAGATTGTCACCTCTTCACCGGAACTCACTTCCAACTGGTTCTCCTCGGTAACCATGCATTGCCCATTTGCTCGCCGCAACCAGCCAATCTTCATAGCCTCGGCTGTTTGTAGACGTTGACATGTGTCCCACAAGAAGTTCACCATTTCCAATTGTCACACAACCAACACCGGCCGGGCACTAATCCTTCCCCTAAACACCTCTTGCTTAAACATGGCTCTTAACTCTAATTGGAAGGCTCTCAATTTTGTTATTGCCATGGGTTTAGCCGCCACCTCTTCATACCCTTCCATTGGTGTACCCTATTTTAAACTCTACGAGATGTTGGTGCTGCGCTGAATTGGCTCTACCCCCTCGCCCCATCTATTCAAACGAAGTGCTCCTGGAGCACTTCGTTTTTTTATCGCATTGGACCAATGCGATATCATGGAACATAAGGTAGTTGGAGTGGGTACACCATCTTTTTCCCCATGTTCTTGCGTTCATTTTGTTGTGATGAATACCAACAAATCACATACTATGCAATTACCGAGGGACTTGTTACTTGGCAGCTCTGCCAAATAACATCTCAATTCTTGGATATCCCGTTCCCCCATTTCATTAGTCTCAACAGTCCGCCGCCTCGTGGCTATCCCCACTGCCTCCCTCAAACCCCACCCATACTGGGCGCAACATTCCTCCCAGCTCAGTCTCTTCACTACTGTTGGCAACTCGGGCAACTCTGTACGGAATCCGCAATACAAATTCTGTGCCCATACATCCCAATCTCCTTCCTGCATATAAGACCTCTTCAATCATGAGTCTATGCTATCGCGCAACCTAGGTATTGGGGAGTGAGATGACCTTAGCGAGTCTCAAGCGACCAGCCAAGATCATCGAATAAAGTTGGGGTGTTACGCACACTGGCCTGATGTGGGGGACGCTCTACTAATGGCCCCTTGGTGTGGGGGACGCCCTGCCCAAGGTATGGTGACATACCCCAACCAACTTAGCGATATTCTACGATATGGGAATAGGTTGGGGTGGTCCCGCCTAGGTCCCCGTAATGACCTAGGTGCCCGGCGAGGCGGGTCCGCGGCTCAAAGAGGGCAGTAGCCCCACACCAACAACCTTCACATACCATGGGGTGTGTAATAGTTGAGTAATCTCCTTGGCGCCCTGATGGCCGGAGTAGAGGTGGCCACTCAAAGGTGCCATCCGGTCCGTTAAATCCGGTTCGTTAATTTTTATCAGCTGTCCGTTAAATTTCGTTAAAGAAAAAGGGAGAAAAATTCAGAAAAACGAAAAAAATCTCAAAAAAATCGAAAAAAACCCAAAAAATCACAACAACTGCGGCTAGTTGAAAATCTAGTATGCATAGGTTGAAATAAAATACAAACATACTCTCTAATAGCGAATTCCATAAACTATAAGTATGACTAAAACCCAAAATCCCCAAAAAATCCAAAAATCCGCTAATTTTTGGTTAATTTTTGTCTTTTTTCGTTATTTTCCGTTAATTAACGGAAAATTAACGGAAATTAACCTCTGTCCGCTATTAACGGATCCGGGTGGCCACCTCTAGGCCGGAGGGGAGTCCGCCCCAACATCATTCATGAATTGCTTTGACAGAAGCAACATACATATTTATGAATACTCCATTTCTCCCTCAGTTCAGGCACTAGCCCCCATCCATATAAAGCACCAAGTATTTACAACTTTGCAGAGCCATAACTTTATCAGTTTTAACGGATTTGAGCGTTTCAAAAACATAGGGGTGGAGCTCTTGAATAAGCCCACCAGAGAGTTGGTTCGCAAAGATGAATAATCAGCACTCCAAAAAATGACAATTACGCCTACACCTTAAGGAACCATGTCATAGCAAGCCAGACCGGTTTCGTTTTGCGCCACCAAGACTCGTCAGTGGCCTTACTTAGCACCTTGGGCTCAGAGTATTATATCCTCCGTATCATTTCTACCCCCCCTCTCCGTGTAGGGAACATTCTCGTTCCTCTCGACAGATGCCCTATAGGGGGTCCTGGCTCCGAAACCAATTAATACGGACCTGGCCGAAGAATCACTCGGACCGGATCCGGGTCCCAAATCCCGGATTTAAACCCACAGTCCCTGTGCCAAGCTAGTACACTTCCATCCTGCGCTACCCAGACTTGTCAATGGCCTTGTTTGGCACCTTGGGCTTAGGGTATTATACCTTTCGTATCAAAAGGGCCCACTTGTAGGAAGGGATATAACGGCCACCAAATAATCAACGTCATGTTCGAGGCTTAAGCCATGAGCTCGTTCACCCCATCTTTGAGCATAGAAATAATGTTTTGGCATTAACCTGGAATCCAGACTGGGAGTCCCAGTGAGAATAGCCCCTTGATCTGGATATAGTGCCTTGAACCAAGTGAGAGTCACTCTAAGGGAAAAAGAGACCACAAAATATTGATACAGGCAGAAATGGGATGAGTATATATTAACATTCACACGTACGGAATAAAGTAGATCACATAACAGTAATAAAAACATATATGATGTGAAGGGAGCTCACAAAAAGCCAAGAGGAAAGCTCACCTAAAGCAAATATAGAGTTCATAAAAAGCTTGTGTAGGTCGAATGGGGAGGTAACAAAGAGCTAAAAAATAGCTCATAAAGAGTGATAAAATAATTCACAAAGAGCTATAAAATAGCTCACCCTGAGCTATGAGAATAGCCCATACAGAGTTAAGAAAATAACTCACAAAAAGCTCTAAAATAGCTTACGCAAAGCAAAAGAGTGGTGCACAAGGGGTTAAAATTGTAGCTCGCATAGAATTCAAGTTCTATTCGAGGGAAGAGCTTGCAGATAGGTAGAAATAAAGTCAAAGTAGCCTCAACACTCGGACACAATATTTTATGCTTTTGGTGCTTTCAGTCCCCAATGCTTCAAGTCCTTACAATACTTTAGCCTTTTTAGTACTTAAAATCTTTTTAGTACTTTAGCTTTTCTAGTACTTTAGGCCTTTTCCGCACTTTAAACCTTAAGCACTTTAGACCCTTAGTGCTTAAGCCTTTATAGTATTTTTAACTTTTTAGTACTTTAGACGGTTTAGTATTTTGGGCTTTTCTCAATTATCCATTCAATAACCTCGATTGGCCCTTTAATGCGCCACATTACTTGGTAACAAGCGTCCCCACTCAGTATTAGAGGCGGTTCGTCTGGCCTCCGAACCTCTCAGTACTTTAAGCAATTCATCTCACGGTATTCACGTTAGCACCTCACGGGGGTGCCCCTACCATCACAGGCCGTAGAGGGTCACTTTTTGGTGCCGCCGCGGCTCGGCACCAGTGCAATGCGGTACACGATAACTGCCAAAAGCGCCTCCGACTCGAAGGGCGGTATAGCACGCGCACAACACTTCACGGGCTAGCGTACGGCACAAACAACATCACGTGTTCACACTCTGACGGGTTCTGAATGCCTCGGCCTTGGCCTCAACTCCGTTCGCGCGGCATGTGCAACTAGGTTGGGGTGTGTGCGGCGCAGATGTCGATGGCGGTGCACGTGGATGCGGCGCAGAGTTGCGGTGCGGAGCACGAGCCGAGGAGAGAGGCGTGGAAGTCCTTGCTAAGTGGGCAGAGCTTAGGGGAGAGTGCGCAGGTGAGTGCACGATGTTGTGGTGTCAAAGGCGGCATGGTACCGCAGCGGAAGGACCCGACCATGGCGCACCAGACGGTCCCCGGAAAGCGCCGCAATGGGGTTGAGGCGGAGGACGCATTGAGGAATGGTGATGCTACTCAGGGCTCGAGGCAAGGCTTCATGCATTATGTCAAACCGTGGGTGGAGCCGTGGCATTGCGCAACTCCATCGTGCGTACAACGATTGGCATGCGCGCATGTGCTAGGAGCGCGCACACAACTATTGGCTCCCAGTTGGGACTGCTGCCAGGCTAGGCGATTGTGTCCAGCCCAACAATCATGGCGGGAGGGGGTGCCCCTTTGTGCACGGCATCCAGATTGAGCCCGACCTGCATGCCGATGGAAGGATTCGGGTGGATGGACACCTCTCGCACTGTCGCCGAGGAGGTTTGCATTATGTAAAACATTGGCCGCCCCTCGCTCGCGTCATTGACGTACGCTGAGAATGCGCGGACACGCTCTCCTGTCTAGCGTAGGAATAGGGGTTGGAATGGCAAAGAGGACATGGCCGCAGATAGGCATGGTGTAGTGTGGCTGACTGGCCTGCGCGGCAGGCGGCAACGCGGGTTGGACTTGACATTTGTTGCTCGTAATTGAGCACATACGCGAGCGCGGCAGCCATCGCTCGCGGCGCAGGAGCAGCTTGCCGCACACTGTGCTACATTGCGCATTTGACATTCGTTAGTATGTCTTAGTGCCTAATTAAGCAAATGTCATTCTCAATTGAGAAATGGGACTCCCAACCATGCTAAAATAGAAAATTATGTAACATTATAGTACATTTATGGCACCATCTCTTCCAAGAGGTTCAACGTCAATAAATCATTTACAGGCGTCCACAATGCATGCAATGATACGGCGAGGAAAGAATGGGAGAGCGGCCAAGTCACTACAAGGTTTTCAATAGGGTGCTCACCACTATACATTGTGTGAAGGCTTCGTATTAGTGGGTGACTTGCTCTACCCTTGTTCAAGGGAAGCGGGGTCGAATCCCGCTAGGCGCAATTCGTCCTCTATCATGCAAGGCATCTATCATCAAGGCAATGCAATCTGTTTGCACTGTGCACTGTGTGCACATGCATATCTTCATCGCAGGATGCCGCCACAACCCAAAACACGTTGATTCACAATCACAATTTTGGCAAACTACAAACTATCTTGATTCTCAATTCACTATTCGTAATCTATTTCATGATTAGCCTATGCCACGTTGTTGATCACCTTGTATCTGGTATATGCAGAGCAATCTGCGTTCAATCCTGACCAAAGTGTGCGATATAAGCCCCATGTTTGGCTGTGCCGGGGTCGTGCAAACCAAGAGGAATAGGAAAGACACAGAAAAATGTAAAAATACAAGGAATGATGCAATGGCATTGTATAGAAAAGAAGGATGCTTTTCTAAGAATGCCTTCCAAGACTTCTTTCTATGAATTCTATCCATGAATTCTCTCTAAGATTTCTTTCTGAGAATTCCTTTTTGTCTTTCAAAAGCTGCAAAAAGGGCGATGATACAACAAAGTTAGTGGTATGGGGTGCCTGCCCTCTTTAAGTCACAAACCCGCCTCGCCGGGCACCTAGGTCCTTACGGGGACCTAGGCAGGACCACCCCAACCTACTCCCGTATCCTACCGTATAATAGAATAAGGTCTGGTTGAGGTAATGTTACCATATCCTGGGCAGGGCGTCCCTCACCCCAAGAGACCATTAGTAGGGCGTCCCCCATATCATGCCAACGTGTGAAATAGGCGGTGAGCGTAGCATGTCATGCAGTGCATTTATGATGTGCCACATCATTTCCATAGCTAGCACTGTGTGCATTGCACTGGTCAGCAAACTCACCATAGGGAGCATTCAGCACCGCCAGGTAGCCCCTCCAGGTGAGCCAGGGTATGGCCACCCATGCCGCAACGGCGCCCACCAACGAGCCCACCGCCCAGGGCAGTGCGAGCATCACGCCCCATCGGCCCCTATGGGCGCTGGGTAGGTACTCCAGCAGGTACACCAGTGCCACGTTGGAGCCACCGATGACTAGGCCCATCAGGAAGAAGCAGGGCGCTAGCCACTGGTGGAAACCACACATGAAGTGCGTTATTATGCATTTGCCAAGTTTGAAGGAATTGTTGCTCATGAAGGAATTGGCATCAGCGATCAAAAGATCCTCATGGCGGTCCGTTTTTGATGCATCCCATTGCATCTCATCAATAGTCCCTTTTCTGCCTGTCTGGGTACATGCAGGCGGTGTGATGGTTGAATGTATGCAACTTAAAACCTCACTCAAATTGTCCCACAAGCTTGAATACAAATCAAATGACTTTGAACGCACATAAACGCGGCTCATCGCAACAGTTTGTTGTGCATGAACATGGCCATCTTAGGTATTGTATAACCAGAATCCCTTAGAAACGTGTGTGAGTGGTTTAAGTGATACAATGAGCCAGGCACCTCACTCCAAGGGCCCCTACAAATGGTGTCGAGAGCTCAGCACGTCAGTCTCTTTCTTTCGTTTTACTTCTTTAATAGCAATCGTGGCATAATCGAGCCATCCCTACTACATACATATGGCAGATGCCTGTCGTCAGCTGATGATGTAGGTGGCCACCCGCTGAAACAACAACCACCATGTGGCACACGAACAACGCAATTTTAGCAACTTGGCAAACGCTAGTCACACTTTCATTGCATCCAGATTGTGCTCAACTGATACAGGCAGCACAGTCTTTATGATCGGGCACCAGCAGTGCTTCACGACTATTTCGATGTAAGGATTGCCAGATGTAGTCAATTGATGGAACTTGTTCTGAAGTCATGACTTGAAGCTTCATACACATCTGAGTCACAGCATATCTGATCTATGCCCTCTGGCGACACATGTATGCTCAGCGTTGGTATGTTCATGGCGGTGGACTTGCCGTCGCTGGGTACATAGCTGTCCCCACTGGCTGATAAACGGCAAATATAACCGCCTGTCGCCTGCCCGTCATTGTTGCATGCTGCTGGCTTGGTGGCGGCGACTTTCAGCTGGTTTAATGGTGGTCCGCATTATCGCACGTTGCTTGTATATTATGGTGCTGTGTCATTTTTCACCCTGTTGCATTTGCTTTCAGTGCATGCTCTATGAATGGTAGACTGCATGCAGCAATTTGACAATCAGAAGACACCGCTGTCAATAACAGAGAATTGCATTGAAAGTGCAATCAAGTTTTCTCACAATATGTGAAAGTACACTTCGCTTGTTGTGACAAGTTTGAGTTCTTGTATGCGGGTACGATATCATAACCAATCTGCACTCTGTAGTGCGCAGTTAGGCCTGATTTCCAGCGATCAGCCATTTTACTTGCTCAATGGGGTTGCTTTCTGCGAGTTTCTGCAAATTCGTTCGTTCCAAATGTGGCTTGCACATAAATTCAGCACTGTGTTTCATTAAAACACAGTCTTTGTTTGTACCAACTCATGAGGTCACAGGGTGCAGTACAGTGTGGAATTCTGCCAACGAACTCGCAAGCACTCCAGGGCTGCCTTTTGTGTTGCTTGTGTTGTGTACACATCACTCCACACTGGGAGATCATAGATAATCTATTGACCTTATTGGAAAGAGTCGCACATAGACTTGCTTAAGTGGGGCGCCATTTTGTATGGTCTGTCAACAAATCTTACCAGCAGTGTGGGAGCAGCGGCTGCGCCCAGGCTGCCTGCGATGGCCACCAGCGCCACGTACCAATAGGTGTGCTTGCGGCCGATGGAGTCGGCCAGAACGCCAAAGGCGTAGGAGCCCACAAGGGCACCAAAAAAAATGAGCAGCGTTAACTGGCTCTCCCTGCCAGTTGACAGACCCCACTCGCAGGTCACCTGCATCAGAAACACCCAGAGTACATTCCGTTTCCTCCCGATGGGAGGATGTTGAGTTGTTGCGAACCATGTTTGCAGCACCTCCTGGCCCTTGTGAGCCTATTCAGGCAGCGAGGCAGGCATTGCACAAAAACGAACAAAATTTCTTCACACAACACACAAGCCAGTTCTAACGAAATGGACGGTGCAAATATGATAGTTGGTCAATGTAATTATGGGATGGCCATGACTGTGTATATTTGTGTATGTAGGGGAGCTGAATTTGAGGCCATGGTGGTAGAGACAGGAGATGCTCAAACAAGACTGTCCCCTTGTTCAGTTGTTTGTGGCCAATGAGGATTCTGTGTGCCCAAGTACCTTGCTCAGCACAGCAGCCTCAAAGATCAAACCTCCTGAGGTGGGAACATTACTGCCTTGGGTGGCCATATTTCTTCCAAGGTGCACTGTATGCTCGATGTGTGCCTCGCGCTGTGTCTCCAGACATTTGTTCATCGCCCAATAGTCTTCCAGAAAGGTTACACACAAACCACTGGTGCCTTCAATTCCTGTCGCTGGCTAGGGATATCCAAGCCAGCACAAGCTTGCAGCCCAGCAACATGTGCAAAATCTCACTCTGGAGAACAGCATTTAATATTTGAGCCCTTGGGATGCAATGGATCTCATGCTGCGAATCTCACAACACGTACACATTTTTGGCAATTGGCTTTCCCTTGTTCCCCATTTCTCATGCCTGGAGGGGCTGTAGTTACCAATGTTGCCTTTCGAAGAAATGCATCGTAGTTCCATTGTGGGGCTGACAATGGTCGAAGACAAATAATAGGGCTTCTTGGAGAGGTGCATGCACAAAGGAACTTGAGTCTCCAATTGTAATCAGGGTACATTCCTGGAATGCAGCTCAGGAATTCTCCCAGGCACCTCCAATGCTTAACATGGTGATTAGCATAACACATTCAAAACCCATGATCCACCTGTGCTTTGTACATATTCATCCTAAAATTAGAAACACTGGCCTGACTTTGGCCTGCTATGTCCAATGATACAACGGCATCAAGAGGGATGCTCAGCCAAACCAATGACACTGAAAGGAAAAGGCACTGGGTCCTGCCTAGGCAGTGGGACGTGATTTAAACAGAACGCAATGCAGGCATGGTGCACATTACTGTGCTGTACTGTGTTGTACTGTGCACTTTCCTCTTGCTTGGGAGACTTTCATGTCATGTTTCATGGCAGACATAAGTATTGTTTGGCTCTATTTTTGGGGTGCCCATTCCGTGTGACGTGCTTCCCCTTTTGTTGGAACAACTCTTTCATCCTTTTAAGTAGCTGGTCGCAGTTCTTCATGGCCTAACGTGAAAAGGAACAAGCGAGTCGTTGGAGTTCTCTTCAGTCAGTTTTCTGTGTGTCACGGTACTGAAGTTGGCCTCCTGAGATGCCCGACGAGACTCAGGAAACGTAGAAGCCACAGACAACTGCGTTGCTGCGATTTGCATGGACAGCAACCACCTCATTCAAAAGGGATGAGATTCGGGAGTTGTGGGTCCACTTGGCATTCTGCTGCTGAGCTACGTAGACAAGACACAGCGTTCGTACTTCTGGGCAAGGTGTCTTCTCAGACATATCTGAAGCCAATCCAGTACATTGACAATCCGTTCAGTGGCAAATTTTGCAGAGCACTTTGTGTCAGCCTGGTTGCCAACAACACACATCGCCAACACCTGAAGTGGCCGCTCAACAATCCGCGCAATGGCCAACAACAAGACGACAGAACCAGCAAGACGAGTTTGCCGCCTTTTTGCGCGAGATCGGGTTCGGAATCCAGGCGCGGTTTCCCGCCATGAAACTCACCGTGGGCGCCACCAGTGCCGCAGCACCCAGTTTGGCCCCTTCCGCCACGTACGACAGCCCCATTGCCCACAGCAGCGCGGTCTGAAACCGGCCCATGCCAATGTCGTCGATCGCCTCCGACACCGTCACGGTCCGGCACGCTCCGACGCGCTCCGACACGCGTCCCGGCTCCGGGACTCCGCCGAAATGCACGCGTCGCTGCTGGTCGTCATGGGCGTGACATCCCGAATGGGCATTCGACCGTCCCAGGAGGGTGACTCTCTCCTGGGGCAGGGTCTCGGGGTTTCCCGCTGGCATGGCGTCCCCCGCTACTCCTTCCGAAACTGCTTGAGACGCCCTGGGAGTTTGTCGCCGTTGTTCGACGAACTCGGGACTTGTAGTAGTGGTGGTCGACGGCCAACGTTGCCCTCTCAGGGGGCAACAAGACGGGCCGCGTTGCGTAATGCTCGAAGAGTCGCTCCCCACCCACGCGATGGGAACAAAGTACACAAAAAGGCACGGCACGGACGCCGTGACAGTGCTGCGCCAATGCACGCGGGACAAGGCATGTCCGACGGGGGATGTGTCCGTTGCTGAGCGTGCGCCCGTGCGGCCCGGAGTCGGGCACAAGCAGGGTCGGCATGGGTTTGGCAATCGCTGCAGCGTTGTGACGAGATTGTGCGCGTGTGTGTTTTGGTGGGGAAAGTGTCATGGTTTTGTCCGGACGAAAAGATCTCCCAAGGCAACGTGTCTCGGCAGGCTAGTTATTGCCATAGTTGGCGATAACTACATTTCCCGGTGGCTTGTGTTGTTTGGAAATGCCAAACGTGTGGCTTCACGCTCTCGCCCAACGCTGCCCCCACCGTTGCGGACACCCTTGCAGGGTGGGAAGGATTCTGGAGGTTCGGCCCAAACTGGGACGTTGCCAGTACAGCGCAGGCATGGCGTGTTGTGGGTACAGTAGGGGTCCCTATATAGCGCCCCCCTTGTGACATGGCCAAAAAGGGGGCGCTATTGGGGGCCAGGGGCGCTGAAAATTTTCTTTGGTTGATGCACTTAATTGTAGTTTTATTTATAAAGTTACAATCCCCAGTACAAGAAGATGCGAAAGTGGACCCATTAGCCATGTATGGCCATGTACAGCCTATTGACCGACATGCATGTAGCATGTTCTATCGTGCCACAATAGCGGAACACCGTGTTTGGGGCTTGCATTGATGTTACACGGTGCTTGTCACAACTCATCACGTGGACTTGCACGGCATTGCCCGGATTGTGAATGTGGATTGCACCCAACCATGTAGGGTTGACCTTCGTTACGTATCATAACGTAGAGAACGGGGGACAACGGCCCCTCGCATTGCACATTTCTACAAATGTCCGTAACGAGGGGGGCATTACCGATAGAGTACCTCCTCGTTATCCAGCGTGTACCCATGTTAATGCAACAGATGAGGCGCAGCGGCCCCCATCCAAGCAAAAGTTCCATTGCAAAATTGAAACCTCGCCATACAATACATGATGGGCTACATGATGGGCATGGCTGCGTGGCACCGTCCGTTTGTTCACGGACGACCACACGTGTGCGTATTGGTGGTGTTGTGTGAACATTATCTTTGGTTCTGTATATGAGCGGAGTGAGATGCGACGCAAAGGCGCGCGGACCAATTATCCGCGCCTTCACGGAGCATCGAGCGCAGCGAGGCGATTTGGGGATTTTGGCCATTTTCGGGCCATATCGCTGCATTGGAAAGAGGGCTTCGGGGACGGTCTGGGTGCTTGTGGGGACGGTGGGTTAAGTACAGGGTGACTTGAGGGTTATGTAACCATGCTGTGTGCCGCGGGGACAAGACGCTGGGAACCCTGTAACGAACATCCGTTTTGCTGTCACTGCCTGCCTGCGAACCACGCGCAAGGCAACACCGGACCCAATCCGCCCTTCCGACTGACGCACCGCAGAGGCCGTTCCGCCAAGGGGCCCACCACGTCCGCGCCGCGTCGAGATCGAGCAAGCGACCGTGCCGATTACGCCTGGCCATCCGCCGGAGGGATCGTCGATCCATCGCACGGGGCGCGCGCGGAAAAACCACGCGCCAGGTGGGATGCTCTTGTGCCCTGGTGCTTTGCATCATTGCAAGCGGCATCACAAAACGAACGTGCCCCGCCGCTCCTCATCCGTGCGGCAGGTCGCCCGGAGCCATGGGCTCCCCTGTGTGCGAGTTGCGTGGCCCAGAGTAGCAGGTGCAGCATGGGCGAGTGCCATTGGTCAACAACGGCTTCGCGGCGTTTAACAACTGGGCATATAAGTCACAACAAAGAGGCGGGAGTGGGAGGCCGAACGCAGCCTCCCACTCTCGCCATTGCTGCCCCTCGTTGGCGCCGAATGGTGCCACATGTAGGTGCACTGATTGGCACCCACGAGTGCCATCAATCGGCCTTGCCTCGGATGCCGTGCACTGCTGGCTACCAATCCTGAAGGCCAATGGGGAGGCTCGCATAGAATCCTCGTTCGCGACATTAGTCTCTATCGGACCTCGACTCTGCAGCAGTTTGCGCATTTAAATAATGGACGCCGCCGTATTAGGAATCCCTCCCTATCCCTCCATTCTACCAGCCGCAAGGCTGGCAATGCCCATTTCGCTGTGCATAGATGGTAATCCGTCACATAACGCACACTCCCCTTGGCCTCCCAGGGTATCCTTGGGCCCTGGCCCCACAGCGGACGCACCAGACATGCCATCAGCCCATCTGCGATATGCCAAGTTCGTGACAAAGGTGGGCCGCCACGGCATCCATCCACCAGACACCACTCTTGGGAGTCCACAATAGTAGTTTGAGGTCCCACTGCGCAGAGAAGCTGCATAAAGTACTACAGAAATGGTGGCAATCCAAAAACGGGGCGCTATTGGGGCCGGGGGAGCTATCAGGGCCCCTGATTCAGGGGGCGCTATTTAGGGACCCCTACTGTACCGGGTGGCGTGTGCCATTAGAGTATGCCCGGGGGGTGCTGGGGGCGGGGATCCGTTAAATGGCCGAAAACAGCAACAAAATTTAAGAATGCCGGTTGAAACATATTTCGTGTATGCGCCACATATATGTGAAGCTTTGCAGCCATGATCCTGCTCGTCCACAGCCACAGGCGCTCAAACACCAGGCAAATCGAGTCTCCGTACGTACATGAAATTCTTTGAAAACTTCGAAATTTGAAGGAATGTGGGGACAGACGGGAGGCGAATCCTTCTTGCAATGTGTCGTGTCCAATCCAATGCTCTGCCTTGCAACAACATATCGCAGTGTGCAAGTCGCCGCGGCCTGCGTGTCGCAAAATCGCACGTTGAACAGAGATCGATCGCAGCATACGTCAGTGCAAGCCATGCGCGGTTCACGCGCGGTGGGCGCCTCCCCGGACAAGCGCGCTACTTCTCCGTGACAAAAATTCGCGCGAGGACAATAATGTACTTTGAGGTTGGGCATTTGACGTGGCGTCGCCCACCAATGCACTCGCAGATTTTCCACCGTGGTGGGGCCTGAAAAGCGTCCTGAGTCCCTGCGGACAAAAGTTGGACGTCTTCGCTTCGAGTCCTGTGTTGGCACTTGCGCTCCGGGAACTTGGCGTCCAGTCGCAGGGCGTGATCCGCTGCCTCGCCTGCTCTCCCATGGCCTGCGCCACTTCCCGTGCGTGCCACGTCCAGATCACAATGTCATGAACCTCAAATCGATTATTCTCCATGCGCCCTGGCAAGCCTCAGCCCCTGGCGGATGCACGTCCGCCTGTCCGTGCCGGGAAATGTGGACGGCGATGCGCAGATATTTTGCGTTCAGTCGCGCCACCTTCTGTGCATACCGCTTTTGCTTTCAGGCAGAGTCGAATGTCCGGGGTGTGCACAGCAGGCAGCGGAGTACCGCGACGCTTTGCAGGTTGTTGCGCCGCCGATTCTTGTCTCTTGGCAGCTTCTCTCGTCTTCTGCGGGTTTAGCAACCGTGTTAAAATCGCCCCGCAGGTTCGGGCGAAGTTTCTCGTCGCCACAATGGTTGATCGACGGTTTCTGGGTGGCTTGCGTCATTTGCCCTCCGGGGTGACGGCCATCTCCCACAGCCGCGCGATGGTTTAATGATGGAATCCGCTGACAGGCAGCCGGGTGCAGCGCCAGCACTGCGGGCCAGGACAGCAATGGCGACGGTATGGCAAGAAGCTGGAAAAGAGCTTGGATGATTAGTCACTCTCAGCCTGCCCAGGCACATGATCCGTCCCGCGTACCACGGTGCGAGGGCAAGCCGTGTTGGTGGGGCAACTAGAGTGACCCGTGATGCCTACAGCCACATGCGGGCGCCCTGTGCCTTGTCAGAGGGGCCGGGGGAAAACTGGCAACAGCACTGAGACTGGACTTGCTGCACTGTAGCAATAACGCTGCAGCAGCCTGGAAAACATGTGGGACAGCGAGTGGCCTAAATCTCCGTAGCCGCTGCTGGTTTAAACAACCCTCGCGACCCTCGTGGAATAAAAGACCCTCGGAATCCTTTCCAAGCCCACCCCACATGCTCTTCTTATGCACCGTCACGCCTCCATCGCTCATGGCGCAAGTGTAACATGGCATCCCCTGATCGATTATTACCCACAACCCCTTTGTCAATCAACCACCGGACAAGGGGATTCTACCACTGCTGCGTGGTTACAAAAACAGATTTAAATTGAAGCATGGTGGCCATGCCATTAAATGCCTTTGGCCATCAGCACAAACAGGCCCGAATCCCGACTTGAAAGTATTGCATCCCCTCAAGGTCCGGGCCAGACGGCCTGTGTCAGAGGGCACCACCCACCCATCTACACACGCACACTGATGGCCAACACCCCTCCCACTCGCGTCAACTCGTGTCCTCAATCCAAATTAGGCTTTGCCTATGGTGCCGTCCCGCAAAATGCAATGACGCAATAACATCAGCAATATCTAACCGCCCAAATATCAAAATGCAAGGATACGAGCAAATATATAAACGCCCTCATATGGAAATGCAAGAATATCAGCAAATATCCCATCGCCCTAATATCAAAATGCAACGATGTAAGCAAATCCCCCATCGCCATAATATCAAAAATGCAATTATATCAGCAATATACAGCCGCCCTACGTGCGGCTGTATACAGCCCTCGCCTACCAGCGATCCGGTTTCTGCAACAAATTGCGATATACATGTCGTTTCTTGCTCTCAATGAGTTCTTCGTTATCCATACTTCCCATAACCTCGCGCCTCCAGCTGTTGCGCTTTTCATCGAAATCGCGTCGCGTCCCCTTCCTGTCGTCTGACGGCCACTATGTGCGCAGAACGTTGGGGCGAAGGAAGGGATGCCGCAGCCATAGTCATGGCCCCTGGGGATGTCTGTTCCCCTTCGGTTGCGCCTCCAGGGCGTCTTGAAGGCCCTCTCCCGCTGTCTCCCTTGAGCTGCTGCAGGCCGCGACGGCGCCCATGACGGACAGAGCGCACATGATGGCCAAGGGGGGGCGCAGACCGCGGGACACAAATAGTTCCTGGGAAAGACAATTTTTGTCAGGCTTATGGTTCCACAGTGTTTCACCTGCTGCGAAGCACAGTACCGCAGTACCGGAAGCCAAGTACTAGCATGTTTCTTGCCCCGTTTTTGGGAGTTTTCCCTGCAATACTGGCTTGGTAGCTACGCTAGTGTGGTATGCTGATGCCTTGTATGCTGGTTTGGTGGATCCCCTTGTCTATAAGCTTCGTTCAAACGGCGTTCCAGCGATCAAAGAACTCTTGGATTGAGGTTCAAAGGGAAACAAGACTTGTGTTTGAAGAGAGAATTCTGACGGGATTTTCCGTTGACGAGCCGTTTCCTTACTCAGGGAAGACATCGCTTTGATTTTGGTACGCTGAGATCTCAAGGGACGCCAATCTCAGAGCAGAGCCTTCCCTTAACTTCAACCCTTGTATTGATGTCTAAGCAATATTTAAGGTCAGCGCAAAACGCTGACAGACGGACTTGGGACATCTCCGGCATCGGTTGGCTGGGCTGCTACAGTTCGTCTCCAGTTCGCCCAGCGCCTGTGCCCTGGAAGCCTCCGCCCCTCAGTACCTATTTGGCTCTGAGAGTGCTACATTCAAAATAATGTCTTCCCGTGATGGTTGCCGCCAGCCTCCCTGTCCTGCTTGGTGCCGGACTGTTGCTGGCCAAATCCAAGGCGGCAAAGACGATTTCGACCTCGGTTTCTCGTCCTGATCTTGCTCTGTAAACCCAAGTCTGCAGCTCGGTTCGCCTCGCAACTTCTTTACTTCTGAACACTACCGACTCAGTTCCGCCGGGGGCCTTGGAGAACGTGCTCATCGAAAAGCCCGCCGACATCTACCGCCTTCAACAACCTGGAGCGACGAGACGGCGGCGCTTCCATCACCTAGTTCGGCTGTCGCGACACGGCTGTGGGCGTTGCAGGCGTACGTGCACGGGTGGCACTAACGGGTGAGGGGCAGAATGTGGCATTGGATACGTCCGCCGTCGCCCGCAAGGTGCAAGTGCGCAGCTTTGCCCTTCGAGGGCAAATGCAAGCAAAAGAATTTGGAGGGCAAGGAATGTTGCGAATGGCAGAACGTCAATGACGAATTTTGAAGGATGACGACTTGTCATCGTTTCAAAATTTGGAAGGGCATTTTGAAAACGCCGACACCCTCAAGGCACACCTTCAATGTGTGGCGAAGAGTCTAGGCACGAAGTACATGGAGATCGTGATTTCCTGCCTTGTTCCAAGCACCGGTTGCTGAAATGGAATGCAGCTTTCATAGAATTGAGACAGCTGAGCCATGGACAGAAAGCGCACGAAACGGCGAGTTTTTTTCTTCCGGTGTGTCACCTGCGCTGCGAAAGGTGCGAAGAGGCTGCCCAGGCTTCCCACCAGAATTCCTACGCCCAGCGCTAACGATCGGACGTCCGTCGGGTAGAGCTCTGCAGAAGCAAAAAAATCCGGACAATTTTACACATGGTCTTGCAAATATATCTAGACTGTCGTACATGCATTTAAATTTTATCAATTGTATTCCTCAACAGTCGACTCCGCCGGAGAATAGGCGCAAAATCTGGATATCGAAAGAGATGCAGCTCAACGTATGATACAAAAGATATACAAAAGATGTGAGGTAATTCTCGTTCCGTTTTCTGCCCACGCATACGATTATATATCCCGATCCATTTTCAACTTTATCACTTACACCTCCAAGATATGGCATTTACTGGAAGTTCTCATTGAACGTAAGCTTTCAGATTGAAGCCATTTGGTTCATTCTCGGCGCGTTTCATCCTGCTGCTGCACGGCGCATGCCAGTGCTTCCTGTGTCCATCACTTTGTCATCATCAAACCAGGAGTCGCGCCGCGCAAAATGGCCCATTGCCTTGTCGGGCAAACCTTACATGTCAAACTCGCCGAAGCTGACTTGGAAGCAGCGCGACTGCGAAATGGCAAAGGGAAGGTGCCCCTACCAGGGATGTAGACCATGAGTACACAGTAGGCAGCGTAGGCTACAGCCCGGAAAACCACAAGCGAAATTGTGGTGTCAATTGCGGGGTCGATGAGCAGAGGTGCAAGCGCCACAACGGCAGCGCAGAATTCAGCCACCAGCGACCTGCAGCCACAAAGCTCGACAACATCCTCATAGACAGAGAAAGCTCCATGTCTTTACAGCGTTTGGTTCAATATACTGCCATTTTGATTCACCACTAGGACAACACCGGCAGGATGCCTGACAGAGAAGCACGAATAACGTTTAGGTGCCGTAATCCAAAGGTTGGACAGTGAGAGACTGATGCAGCTACCCGAAGAAAAGGTTCAGCATAGTTTAAACACCACGTGGAAACCCTGAGTTGGAATGGAGTTTAACAGTTTTGTGTTCGCGAAGGTAATTACCAGTACCACAAAGACGTACAGCCTGGGTGCATTTCAAAGTTTGCCCCAAGCACATTGCCACGGAGAAAGACCAGGGAGAGATCCCAAAGACACACAGTGGGGATAGTATCCCCATTACGGGTATTACCCGAAATTGAGTAAATTACTTTGATATTTGACATAGTATATTTGAGCGACAATTGAGTTTTTTAGCTACTGTATTGCACATGGGCCTCGCGTATTTTGGGCCATTGGGTGGGTCCAACTTGGACAGCCCAGTTTGCCCCCATGAGAGCATGAGAACGGGTCACTATTTTCATCTTGAGAGGACAGTGCTCTGCCGTGCTTGTTCAAGTTAATACTGCTGTTGTCATGTGTTGATTTGAAGGAGTACATTCATGCTTGCACCGCGTCACATATCCATCGTTTGTTGTAACAAACTTCGGTTTGGTTCACCTCCTGCGCCCAGCCCAGTCTATCATAGCGATGACGGAGATGCTGCCGATTGCATCTGCCGCTGACACGATGAGCATCTTCCTGTAGGCCTTCTCCGACAGCGCAAAGCTGGCCCCCACGCAGGACCCAACCTCCTCCGTGTAGACTTGCGCGGTGAGGATCAGCACGCAGTTGTAGGCAAATACCGCTGACACGCACAGGGCCAGCATCACGGCGGTCGTCCCTCGCAGGGGCCTCGAGACCAGACTGCAATTAAACAATGAAGCAATCAGGGGAAAAGATTATATTCTTCTATATCTTCACCTTTTTGATCTTTTGTTCACTATCTAATGAATGTGTATGTAAAGCATCGCCTTGTTCAGGCAGCTTCGGTCCAGCCGATGTCTTTCTAATTGATGAGAACTGCGCGAAAGTGATGCCACAACCTGAAAGGAGGAAACACCATGGCATGAATATTCATGGATTAATCCGAAAAGTGCTGCTTTTCTGTACATCAGCTAAAAATCCATAACCTGAACATGGAACAGGACGTACGCCAGGGGGGGCACAATTCCTGGATATCAAATACGACATGGTGGACATATCCTGGATATGCATATCCCAGACTTGGGCGCCCGTATATTGCGAATGTGGCTGTTTCCTGGGTACGTATGTCCGGGATGTGCAGCCTTTTTCCGACGCATACCATACGCCGCTGAACATACTTCAAGACTATATTCTGAGCCTCAGTCTGTCTACTACGCACACAAATGCTTACACACTGTCAGCGCGTCAATGCTCCGAATGCAAAGTGCGCAGTCAACGCACCTGCCAAGGTCTCGCAAGCTTTCGCGCACCATGTCGAGCAAAGATTTGTCATTCGTGACTTTGTCGTCCAGGCTCTCCAGCCGGACTCCCGCCCCCAGGTGCACCCCGTTCATCTTGCCCACGCGCCTCAGAGCCTCCATGGCCTTTTCAGGTCCGCCCTTCATGGCAAGATAGTGGGCAGACTCGGGGAAGAGGGGGAGAAGCGCGAAGACGCCAACTGCGTTAAGATGGGCATAGAAGCTTGTAATGGACCGCCTTCGACGTAAAAGGACCATATCCACCAGCGAAATAATGTATACCATTCACACAGACTGGAGATTTCAATTTTTGGTCATGTGACCAAATTCGCGTTCAGAATTTTCTGAATTATCGAACATCATGTATCACTGATACAATGTTTATGGTGCAAACTTCGTATTAATGACGCAGTGCCAAAGGCGCAAAATGTGCACTGCAAACCGTGCGATGCGGGGCAAGACGGCTGCAAAGGTCACACTCCAATTAGATGAACTATTCATGAAATTAATCGTTCAAAAACTAATGATTACCAGATGAGGTTAAGATCTGCCGCCTCAAAAGGCGGCGTTTGATGGATCCGGTTTGGCACGGTGTTGAGGCCCACTAAAGCGCAGGCTATAAGGAGACTCAAATTTTTGCAGGGCAACGACGCCAAAACTTTCGCATCAGTTGTTCCCCGTCGTTGCGGTGACTGAGCGAGGGGACGACGTTGCAGCCGTCACTAGGAAAAAAGGGGCCAAATAACACTTTTGCGAACGCACATAAAACACATTTCATCATAGTTTCACACGCTAAGAACAAAAAAATAACACAAACCCATAAACTTCGTACACGTTTGAACATTGGCCCTTTTCTCCCAGTGCGTGGAATCTGCGCATGCGAGAAACCCTTGATTTTTATTCTCTGCCGTTTCGGACTTGGGTTTTTCGTCGTCTCTGAACATGGGAGAGGCATGTCCTGCAATGTCAGGTCCAACTTTGGTGCCCAGCGCGCCCTAATTTTGCGCTGTCAGCTGTGATATTGAGTGTTAGGCTGTTCGGCGAGAACTGTGTCCAAGCATATACACCATATTGCCTCTTCCATATCTGATCCACTACTCTATTTACGTCAGGGATGCCGATGACCTGGGCATGTTCCGCTCCGACCCCGACGTCAAGACCGGCAAATCTAAATTTGTAAGAGCACGAAGGCGTGCCACACAGCACGGCAGGCAGGCAAAACTTTGGGGCCCAATCTTTCCGACTCTACCCTCCTGTGTAATTTAGATGTCGTTTTAGTGATGAAATTCTTCTTTTCATTAGACGTCAATTAATATGGAATAAAGAAGAAACAATGGTATGCTGGTGCCCACCATACTTCTGAGGTAATATTAGTAGAAATGCTATTAAAGTAGGGTTTGTGACCATCATATTATTTCAGCAGGGTCAGGGATTTTAGTATGGTCCAATGCCGTGGCGATTGCCACGTGATGGTAATGTTAAATGAGCTTTTGCGCTAGTTCCACCACTGACCCAAGAGAACATGAGGTAATGCACGGCAACCAAAACAACATAGAAACTGTCCCAAATTGGGATTCCCAGCCATAGTAAAATGGAGAGAGTCAAGCAAGATTTTCATGGTTTGGGGGGCGCCAGCGTTTGAAAGTGGTCCACTTCGAGAAATCATGCCCAGGAACTCACAAGGCCGCGCAAGGCAACCTGTCTGCACCGTGCTCCTTGTGTGCATGAATATCGTCGTCGTATTATGTCGCCAAATTACAAAATAAACTGATTCACATTTCACAATTATTGCAGAAGTACCCACTACTGACAAGCCAGTGCTTTCTAAATACAAACTTTACGGTTTTCGCATTTCGTTCCCTGATTAGATCATGCCAAGTTTGCGGAACACTCAGCTACTTAGTACCCGTAGTGCTATCCGCGTTCTATTCAGACAAAAATTTGTGCTACGAGGGCCGCGTTTGCCGCCAGATTCGCCAGGGTCACGTGCCGCATGCAAATAGCGAGCGTGGGGCACAACGCACGCATCTTCCAGACCAAGGAGAGAGAAAAAATACAGAAAAGGCGTACAAATACAAAGTGCGATGAAACGACAATGCACCTAGGAAGAATTAAAACATGTAGAAAGGACGGTGCGCACTGCGCACCGTGCACACCATATCAATAGCGGACACCATGTGCCTCGCGCTCTACGTAAAACTCACCGTAGGGGGCATTCAACAGCGCCAGGTGGCCCCTCCAGCTGAGCCAGGGTATGGCCGCCCACGCAACGACAGCGCCCGCCAAGGTTCCCAACGCCCAGGGCAGTGTGAGCATCACGCCCCACCGGCCCCTGCGGGCGCTGGGCAGGTACTCCAGTACGTACACAAACCCCACAGTCGCGCCAGTGCTGACGAGGCCCATCAGGAAGAAGCACGGCGACAGCCACTGGCGGAAATCGGTACAAGAAATGCGGTGTCATGAACCTGCCAAGTCTGCTGGAAATATTGGTCGGGGAGGAGACAGAACCCGCGACAAAGTATACAACATGACGGACCGCTTTTGATGCACCTCACTGAATCTCATCAGTGCGCGATCTTTCTCCGCCTTTCCAGGTACATGTAAACGGAAATTTTGAGCCTGTGGAGTTTGGACGCGATCCATAGTGCTGCGCAGTTTAATACAAATCGAACGACTTTGAAGAACATGGAGACTGTTCATTGCAGCAGCTTGTTGCGCATGAACATGGTCATCTTAATAATCTTGAATAATCAGAATCCACCAGAAACGCGTGCGAGTAATGTACGCAAGGTAGCGAGCCAGGCACCTCACTCTGAGGGCCCCTACAGAATAGAGACGAACATTCAGCACATGAGCCTCCTTCTATTATATTTGCTTCTTAAATACAATGATGACATGTTCTGGCTATCTCGGCTACAAGCATATGGATATGTACGTCGTTATGCGATGGTAAAGATTGTCCACCTATTGAAACGCCGGTCACCATGTGGCTCACGAACAGCACAATATCCATCAAATCGACAAATGCCAAGGCATTTGAGCAATGGGGCTCAACTGCGGCTGGAGAAAAACGGTGACCAAAAGCGCTAGAGGAATATGGGTACAGGGTTCAGGTGCTGGCAATGTCCCTAGTTTCGTAAGACACCCATTTGCTTGAAGGATGTTGGCAGCTGTAGCTCTGTGAAGTGCTATGGAAACGACACCTCTTTTCACGGCGACACAGCATTTCGCGGCCAAAAACACCACGTAAACGGTTTTATGTGAGGGTAGCCGTTCAAGACGTTTCCGATTGACACATTTTGTACCGCATTCAGATTGCGCTCAACTGATGGACGCATGGCGATCTTTAACATCGGGTGACAATCGGTTTTCAAATTTCTTCGGCACAGCGATGCTCAGATATATTTAATTGATGGAACAAATGCTGCTATTGTGATTTAGAAGTTAAGAAAACTTTTGAGCTATGCCCCGGCGACAAATGTGTGCTCAGCGCCGGTATGTTGATGGCTGTGGATTTGCCATTGGAGAGTATATGACAACCCCACTTGATGATATTATCATATCATGATATTCAATATCATGATATTGATAATTTATCATATCATGATATTATCATGTCATTCCCTCTATCAAAGAGTAAATACAACGGCCCTCCTTTCGTTGTTCCCTCCTGCCTGTTTGGCAGTTATGGTTTCTATCTGGGTAATGGCAGTCAGTACTACCGCATGTTGCTGGAATCTTCCGTGCTGGATCACTTTTTATCCTATCGCATTCGCTGTCAGTGCCAGATCTACGGTCGGTAGACTGCGTGCAACATATTCGCAATTGAAAGAACTACTGTCAATTACAGAGAACTCATAATTACAGTGAAAATGCGCCTGCGATTCTCACACAGCAAGAGTATACATTTCGTTTGCGACTTTGAGTTCTTGTATATGGGAATGGTGTTGCAACCAAGCTGCACTCTGGAGAGCGCAACCGGCCCCGACATCCAGCCATTCTACTTCCCCATTGGGAGCGCTTTCAACGAGATTGCGCACGACAGTTTCGCGAGGAATCTGGCGGACGCACCATTTTAGAACTGTGTTTTCATTCTGCCACAGTCTTTACTTGTCCCAAGTGGCGAGGCCACTGGGTGCGGCATTCTGCCAATAAACAATTTCTTATGGTTTATTGCAATTGCACTGATGAACTGCTTTTCGCGCTGCTTGCGTTTTGCGCACATCATCTCGGACTCGAAGACTGTGCATCGCCTTTTCGCAGCATGGACAAGAGTCTCACACACACTTGCTTAGTAAGGGGTGCACTTTGCGTAACCTGCATCCCTTTTGATTTTAACAAATCCTACCTCCACTGAGGGAGCGGCGGCTGCGCCCAGGCTCCCCACGACGGCGACCAGCGCCACGTACCAATAGGTGTTCCTGCGGCCGATGGAGTCGGAGATGACGCCGAAGGCGTAGGAGCCCAGAAGGGCGCCGAGGAAATAGAGCAGCGTCAACAGGCTCTCCCTGCCAGTTGACAGACCCCACTCGCAGGTCACCTGCATCAGAAACGCCAGAGTGCGTCGCCGTTTCCCGCGGATGAATGCTGCTCGTGATCGCTTTAGTGATCGGTATGGTTTACGATGAAGAGGGTGATGTTGATTTGTTATATACCTCGCAGTCATCACCCCCTAGCCCTCGCTAGGATGGTCAAGCAGAGGCAGGCGTTGCACAAATTTGAACGACGGTAAGCGTAGAAGAGCTCTCTTTACGCAGCATACAAGCTATTTTCGGTGGCAGTTTGGCAAATGTTCAGTGAAATGATGACACGGCAGTGACCGCGTATATTTGTGCATGCATGGTGTGTAGTACTGGTGCCCGGCTCAAAACCCTGTACCTGGTAGTCGGGGTTCGTAAAGTAGAGCAACCAGGGCACTGCTAATCACCAGGCAATCGGTATTACCCGGGTACTGCCATTACCCTGGGCTGGGTACGCACCCTTGTATAGGACCCGAGAATAAATTAGCCCCTCTGTCTTTTCCGTGAAGATCCCTTCTCCTTCCGCCGGCAAGGCCAACGTGGGGCAGGTTTTTAGGGTTTAGAGTGTCGAAACTAGAAAGGAACTTCACGGAAGACAGAGCGACCAATTTCATGCATGTCGGACCATACCCAAACGTCCCCCTCTCAGCGTTTGCTCGTTAGGGAAGACGCTATGTCGATTTTGCTACGCTTAGAGTCAAATTGACGACAAGGGGTGGGTGGGTGGGTCCAGACTTGTGACGCTAAGAGATTATGCAATTGGCATAATACCGAAATAAGGAGGGAAGGTGCCCAAAAGCACCACTGAGAAATGGCAAAGAACCCGTGACATGTTCCTAAGGCTCCTGCAAATGTTCGATCAACAATGAAGTCCTTAGAATGGATCCATTTGCAGGCACTGAGGCTGCCCGCCTCACCCACAATGGCATTTAGAATCCAATTTTTAAACCCGCTAAAACAGCACAACTTTGATTGTTTTATTCCTTAAAAACATCTGGAAATTGAACACCACTGTTAGGTTATGCTGCTGAGTCATCCTGGCTTCGACATAAGGGTTGACGCTAGGGAGGGGTTTCTGAGCTTAACGTCAAATTTGACGCTAAGCGTACCAAAGCCGACATAGCGTCTTGCCTTACCCGCCCGCCTGGATCAGCCCAGTGCAGCCAATCTGGGATTTGACCGCCGTTTGGGTCTTATCACGCCAAGGCAGGCGTTGCAGCTGCCGCTGCATGCCGCAACTGCGCCGGTTCCCTGGGCAGCCCTGCGTTGGCGTCCACGCCATCCTCCACAGATCGAGGATCAGCGGCACCCCAGGGAGGGCAGAGCGGGACCCGTCCATGGAGTGGCGGTCCCGCTACTCGATCGATCGTTCGGGTTTAGCTTCCGGCCATCTTGAATGTGACTTCCAAGGCGCCGCTGCAAGGAAAATTGCGGGAGGCGTGGCAAACCGGTGGCCCTTCGATTTTGCTGGGGGAAGGCGTCGCGCGAAGAAAGCGTCGGTCGTGCCACACTGCAATCCTTCCACCACTGCAGCTGGCACTCCGATGGCGCACCGGCACGCATTCTCTTTGGTGATGCTTTTCTTGCATGCCTCAGAAGACTGAAAATACTGGCCCGATTTTGGCCTGCAATGTGGCACACTGCACAGTCTATGGGGACCTTGTCATCATCCGTTGGCATCATGAGGGACGCTCAGCTGAACCAATTACACCAAAATGAAAGCCGCTGGGCCTTGCCTAGGCAGTGGGACACGATTACAACATACCACATCGCTGTGTTGTGCACTTTCCTGTTGCTTTTGAGGACTTTCAAGTCAGATTTCATGAAGTATACTCTCACATACTGTTTGGCTCAATATTGGGTGCCCATTGTGCCTGATGTGCTTTCCTTTTGGTCCTTACCAATCTTTCATCCATCAACGTCTGGTCACACTTCGTCATGGCGTATTGTGGAAAGGGAAAAAATAAGTAACTGGAGTTCCCTTCAGTCAATTTCTGTGGTGAGGGTGTGTAGAGGTCTGGGAATTGGCCCCCAGAGATTCCCCTGGGACTCAGAAATTGTAGAAGTCACAAACATTCACGTTTGCTTCGGTTTGACTGGACGGTTGTGGGGCCATTTGGAATTACGCCGCCGAACCACGGAGACAAAACACAATTCGGAGAGCGTGCTCCTGGCCAAGCCATCCTTTCAAATATATCTGAAGCCAGCCCGCGCAAAGGATGCCCATGTAGTGACAGAAACCAGCGAAGCGAGTTTGCCGCCCTCTTGGGTAAGACCAGGCTCAAAATCCCGACGCGCTTTCCCGCCAACAAACTCACCAAGGGCGCCACCAGTGCCGCAGCACCCATCTTGGCCCCCTCCGCCGCGTACGACAGACCCATGGCCCACAGCAGCGAAGTCTGAAACCTGCCCATGCCAATGTCGTCGACCGCCTCCGACACCGTCAAGGTCCGACACCCTCCATCGCGCTCCGGCACGCGCCCCGACTCCGGGACCTCGCCCACATGCACGCTTCGCGGTTGGCCGTCATGCGTGTGACTTTCCGAATGGCCGTCATTTGACCCCCCCAGGAGCGGGACTCTCTCCTGGGGGAGGGTCTCGGGGTTTCCCGCCGACATGGCGCCTCCCGCCGCTTTTCCGAAACTGCGTGAGCCGCCCTGGGAGTTTGTCGCCGTTGTTCGACAAACTCGGGAGCTCTGGCAGGTGGTCTACGGTCAACATATACCCCGCAAGCTTGACGTTGCTCAGACTCCCTGTAACAGCATAGCGGTAATGCACGCCGGAACCTGCCTGTCCCCGGCCGGCCAAGTGTTCGGTCACTCAAAAGAGCTGGTGGGTTGGGCGCCTGTGCGGCACGGAATTGGGCACAAACAGGGTCGTCATGAATTTGGCAATCGCAGCGGCGTTGTGACGTCATCGCGCCCGTGTGCTGCTTACGCACGCACACCGTCGTCACTCTCCTTTCCCTACATCAGCGCTTCCCTTGCAATCAGCACCAACATACCAAGAGCACGGATGCAACAAGTGCGCCCTTGCGCTGTGGCACCATCCCCGCAACAAAAGCAACGGGGCCACTCCCATCAGAAGCCCCAAACACAGTGTTCAAATTGCGATCTGACACTGACTTGTTTTATTAGAAGCTGTACTGATGAATCGTATACTAAAGTTGTTTTAAACAAATTACCGCTGACAATGAGGGATAGCACCCCTCCGTGTTGAGCATTTCCGTTAATGTCTGTCATGTGGGGGGCGCTGTTCAGTGTACCTCCGCGTTATACAGCGTTCCTCCCGTGTTCCGCAGTACTTGCGGGGAAACGCCCCCTTTCCAAGCAACTTATGGAGCGCCGCTCCAACAGGATAATGACTAAATAACTCAACTGTGGTGTGTCATGCGGTTGCCCCACAAAGCCACCACCCCATCATGCCACCTTCGTCCGAAACGGTGTTGAAGTTTGTTGGCATGTCGTGCACGTCGGGACATCTTTCAAGTCAACTTGCCGATTCAAGAACACTCGCATCGCCACACAACCCATCTCATCGCCATGGGCTCACCACGGGCAACGGACCGACCATGCAGCTCGTCACGCGCCGCGAGAATCACCATAACATTACAAGCGACATTGCCCCATGCGAGCTCACATCCCGACCATGCCCCGCCAGCGATGCCGGCTCGCCCTTCCCACGCTCGAAACTCTCCATTTTCCTCTCATCCGAAATTGAGCGCGAAGCCCACACCTCAGTTTGCATGCGCTGCTGTCTGGACGGCCTCAAGACTGGCCTTGGGGCAACCCTGCGAGCTGCCCCACGCCTCAACGGCCATGGAAAATGCAATCAGACTCTGCAAAGTTCTTGATTTGGCATTATCTCCGATAGGGCTAAGATTCATCCCGAGGCTGTGCATGCAAAGCTTCTTCTTCCGCCCATCCGCCACGCCGGCAAAGATGTTACCGCCACTGCTGGGCGCAGAATGATTCATCCATATGGAGTTCAAGTTCATACTGGTACACGCAACTTTCCAGCTCTCTGCTACCATCGATCGGGGGGCAGCGGACCCCTCTGTTGCTGCTTGTAGCAGTCCGCCATGCTGCTCGGACGCAGACCACGCCAACCTGCTAACCCAGACAACGGGTGACAGCCAGCCGCCAAACGCGCCTGGGTGCCCACCAGCCAAGACAGTATTCTCCTCCCCTGGAGCCACAAATTCAAAGTCGAACATGCCAAGAGGATACTGGCTAGCCTGCCGCAACACACGAAACTTCCACTTCTATTTCTCTCCAGCTTTCATGTGACCCTGCTGGATATCGCTGCTTTTTATTTGCTTCACAGACCCGGTCTAAAAAGAACGACATATGCAAAACAAAGCCTAGGCCTCGCCCACGCCTCGTGGCGCCTTGGAGGATCTGTTCTCCCACCTCCCATCACTGCCTTCCAAGTGTAGGAGCAGTCCTTTCCACGTTGTGACAGCTGAACTCAAACCACCCTCGCAATCAAACCAGCCTTTCAGGCAAGCCTGCCACCTGCTGAGTAACTTGTCGACACTAGCAACGCGGAACACACACAATTGACACAAAAGCTAGCAGAGCACTAGATTGTAACAAAAACTTAACAAAAAACAAACAAAAAACTAACAAAAAGCTACAAAAAAGAAAGGATTGTCCTGTGCAGTTTGTCCTGCCCCGGCCTCCTTTAGTCAAGCTGCCATGCGCTCACTCAAACGCCACCGGAATCCTCCACCTCCCGTACCTTCCCTCTCGGAAGCTGGGTGCAGACTGTGCGTCAGATGCCGGACAACAAACGCGACCAAACGCGACGAAATATGTGCCATTTGCCACCAGATTTTTCTCCCACAGGTTTTCTCCCACAGTTTTTTTTCTGCCGCCTTGGCTTCAGTTTCAGCCCGACAGCCGCAACGAGAGCTGCAGGGCGGCGCGCCCGGCGCGTCTGCTCAAACGGGCTGCCGCTCAAACTCCTCCTCCACCTCCTCGATCACGTCCTGCAGCGCCCTGCCGGCCGTGTCCTTGGGCAGCGTGGCCGCCGCCGCCGCGCCCACGCCGCAGCACGCGATCAGCACCCCCGCTGACGCCGGCAGCCCCCGCCGGTGCAGCAGTTCCTGGCCAATGGCCGGCGCAGCGAGGCTGGCCAGGCTGTTGAGCATGTTGCCGATGCCGGTGGCGGAGCTGCGCATCTCGGTGGGGTAGGCCTCGGGGGTGTACAGGATGATGAGGACCAGGATGGACTGCGCCAGGGCGCGGGCCACGAAGAGGGGCCAGGTGGCGCGGGAGATGGGGAGGGCCAGCATGGGCAGAATGCCCGCGGCGGCCACGCAGAAGAACGCCAGCATGGACCTGGGGGACCAGCAAACCTTTTGCCACCAGGCCAGAAGGTGAGAATGGCTATGCTCGCGAACAGCGGATGGGCAGGGAATGGTTAGAAAAAGATCTGCACGTGTGCAGCAAATGGTAAATAACGGATCCATGAGGGGGAGGGAATGACAGTGGGTGTGGTCGACGTTGATGGGCATTGGGGGGGGGGGATTCTCATCCGATGGGATACTTTTAGCCGGCTTTCGGTTCAAGTGAACTTGAATAAACAGAAGTGCAATAAGCATTCCTGCATTTATACCTATGCGTGAACGTCGATCCCCAACGACGTCGCCATGACCATGGCATGTTGAATTGCGTCCAAGTGGATTGCTTTTGTCCAAGGAAAGAAAATGCGGCCGTTTGCCCTATGTTTTGCACTTCTGCGTGGCCCTGCAGGGTTAAGGGTGCCCTGCATGTTACACTGTGTTGTAGCTTGTGTCATTGCTGCAACAGAACGGTGGTAGTGGTTTTTGCTCTGTCATGGGGCTTGGCTGGACAACTTTCGGCTCCATAAGGAGGATGAGACCCGCATACAGAGAACATAAATGGAAACCCAGTTTGCACAACTGTTCAAGGGTATCTGAGCACGGGCCACAGGCACTGCACTTTCCATTGTTGATACTCCATGGCCTCTGATCAGGACAGGGACTCGCAGGCATCCACAACAGTATTAAGAGCCAAAAGCTGACAGTATACTCAAATCCTGGAACATGGGGTTGCAATCATGAAGAACGAACACACATTTTGGAAGCTGCTTCAAAGGCATAGCCGCCAGGGCACTAAGGGCTTAGATTAGATCATCATTGATCACTGGCAACCTGCAATCAAAGGAACTTGCAGCTTCACAAGTACAAGGAATGCATGAGCCCGAATTTGGATCCCCTCTGCAATCTAGATGCCACTGTCAACGACCAAATATAATGATGTGATATATCAGAACTAGATATGTCCATCGAATGTTACTTCCTCCATCCAGAATTAAATGAAACAGTTTGTTGACTGGCCCCATTTGTATCATATGTTTAGCATTTTTCTTTGAAATTTGGACCAGAGCACCCACTCTGTGTTTAGTCAATGCTGTCAAGAATTCATTGGCAGAAAATAAGATTCTTGCACTGGGTTGTACTTCCAAGCCACACGACTCAGACCCCAAATTCCAACGTTCCAAGCCCATCGGTGACCCTCCCGAACCCAGAATCCTGGATCCCAGGACACCCTAAGCATGAGTGGTACCCCTTTCGGTGGCCGTCGCAGTATCAGAAGAGTAGGGTTCCCTCGTTACTCAGGCTTTAGCCCAGAGATCGACACCATTCATGAACGAAGATCGGCAAGAGTGACAGCTAGGTGTGCCCGTCGCCATCAGTGTTCACTGGCAATCTGCGCCAGTGTCCACGGCGGCAGACCAACATTCCTGGGATTGGCCATTGCCAATAGATCTCCTAGTGTCTTAAGACTAGCTGTAGAATAGTGGTGTGCATCAAGCACTCTTTGCTCGGCACAGATCTCCAACTGATGGCTTGCCTGGCGCAATAAACACCACCACACAAGCAGGTATCAACCCCATCAAACACAAGGATGGAGGGTGTGGATGCTCAATCGGAGACCCCAAGTGTCTCTGTGGTACTGTTCTTGCATTTTCCGATGGCATCCACAAGAATCTGCCACAGCGGCATCTTTCAAAGGGGCATAAATGGTGCTCACAGCGCTCCAACACAGGCAGTTCTAGCTATCTTTGACTGCAATGCAGCGAGGTGACGATCAGATTCTTCTGAACTCTTCGTGGTGGTCTTAGCGCCTACAACAACTCTGCCCATGGGGCCAGCTGTTTCTAAAACGCCGTGATTGTGAAGTTGGCCGATTTGTGCGTTTCCGATCCAGAGCTGAAATCCTTGCTGGCCCGTGCAAACAACGGTCGCAATCGACGATCGAGCGCTGTGGAACTCGGTTCTGCAGTCTCTCCTCTTTGGGAGGAATGTCTCCAACATGCAGCCACGACGTTGGCTACAGATATCCACTTTGCACTATGCACCATCGGCCGCAAGGCGACCCAGTCACAGACCCCGTTTGGGGGGCCTGTTCAGCAAGACCTTGAGAAGATTCGAGTTCTTGATCGGAGTCAGAAGGGTATAAAGTACTGCCATGTGACCAGTACTTATCTGTTTTCCGTGAAAATTTGGCAGCTCCTGGAGAGTGCTCTACTCCAGTTTTGAAGGAAAGTCGGCAAGTGTGTGATACAAATGCGGCCTCTCAAGCAAACTGTTTCATTTAATTCTGGACAGAGGGAGTATAAACAAAGTAATAGTGCTTTGGGTACGTACATGCACATCATGGCCTGCAATGTGCTGAGCCACTGCATTGCCTTTTCAATCCAAATGCACCAAGACATACATAGGAATTAGGACTCCTAATTGTGATGCAATATTTCGGAACAGAGAGAAGGAATTAGTGCCCACCGTTTCCTCCCAGCCCACTCCACAAAGAAAATGGGAATGAAGTTGCCCAGCAGCTCTGAGGAGGAAACGATGAGCACATCGAGGTAGTCCTTGTTCGAAAATATGAAGATACCATCTTGGCACACGTTGTTCTGTTCGTCGGGCCCCACTGTGTGGATCTCGGTAGTCATGAGCACCAGGGAAAAGTACAAGGCACCCCCAACTGCCCATATCATCATCACCGCAGCAGTGGTAGCCCACAGGGGCCTGGAAACCATACTGATGCAATGCAAGCACATATTTTTGTCAATGCACAGGCATGTCAGCAAGGCAATAGAATACAACCAGGCCTGCATGTGTTTTATTGTTCACTTTCTCAAATCGACATAGTTCCTACAGAGAATCGTTTCAGTCAAGGTGGACAACAGTCTTGCTCCTTGGTAGTACTTAGAAGTACTTGGCTCTTGGTTGTGCATCGCAGTGCTCTGTCGTAGCGTCGCCCAAACCGCATTCTGCACTTCTGCAGTTGTGCTCTCTCCACAGGCGATGCAAAGTGTGGGCCCACAAACCTACCGGCTAGTTTGGGGCTCTTTCCCCTGTATGGTGCAATTGCTGTCCCTGGAAGCATCTACCCAAAAAGCTGCATGCCACGTAATCTTGACTTCTGAACTGCTCTTCATTTTCCCTCTGCTGATGGTTTTCACCAAGATTCATTACATCTGCCCTTCTTTGTATGCACTGCTTCTGATTTTCCCACAGTGCTCCTCCCTTGCAGAAGGGAATAACCTGTATATTGAATGCAGGAGACCGCGCCGATGTTGGACTTCAGCCCTTCATCGCATGGTGTGCACCCGAGGTGCAATTGTAACAGAACAGTGTCGAAAGTATGGTGACTGAATGGCTGAATCCAATTTATACCTATTTGCAGTGCCTATACACAAGTTCTGGTAACTCTACAATTTGAAACAAGGACTGAAACTGTGTGAAATGGGCAATAAAGCGACAACGAGAAAGGACAACAAATATTCCTAACAGAATGCAAACACAATGATGCTTACAAAAGCAATGGTGACTGTGTCAAATTCTGCTAGTGACCGCTTGATCCGCTTGAAACGGTGTCAGTTGAATGCGTCAACTTATACCCCACCTCTCATCCTCCTGCAGCATCTCCTTCATCTTGAGAAGTACATTGTATTTGTTCGACTTGTTATGGTGTTGTGGGGGCACCAACAGCCGCCCCGATGGCATCTCAGCCCCATTCATCCATGCCACCCAACTCAGAGCTTTCCGTGCCTTTGCTGGCTCACCCATGACCACCAGGAAATGTGCCGATTCAGGAATCAGCGGCCAGAGTAGGAGAATGATCACTGCCAGCAAACTCCCAACCATTAGTGTTGCTGTGCCCAGCAACCGATCAGCACCCACCGCACGCACACAACATCGACCAACAGATTAAATGGGCCTTTATGTCCAAGAAGTTAGCTCTTCAGTAGTCTGTGTTCTGAGGTTTGGGTGCACAAGGTACAACTGAGCTTTTACCTTTCAGTAGGAAGGCTGGGATTCAAGCGAAACAGCCACAGGAATGTGCGGATGCCTGGAAGGGCACTGCGTTTTGTCATGTTGCCGGCAACTAAAATGACTGAAGACTGCTCTCTGTCCGTATGTGAGTCGGGCCGCCTATGCAGAGGCAGTGCGCCCACCTGTCCGTTGCCCACCTTGGACAATGCTGGCCTCATTCAGATAAAGATATTCAAGGTAGCATAGAAATTTGTGGAGCTCTAAGACCAGAACAGAAACACAACAAATTCTACTGCTCATGTTCCATGTATGTACTCCGACTGACAACAACAACACCTTACACTCCCATCAGATGCACACTCCAGTGCAGAAGCAAGTGCAGCGACTTCTGGCCAGACTCACGGTATGGTATGTTGATGAAGGCCAAGAAAAAACGCCAGCCCTTCCATGGCATGACTGTCCAGGCGCAGACAGCCGTCAGCAAAATCCCGATGCCCCAGAATATGTTCACAGCCACACACCACAGGCCACGATGATTGCCAGGAAGGTACTCGACCAGGAAGGTCTCCCCCAAGATGTTGCTGAACGCTGTGAAACCCAGGCCCGTGAGGAATGTGGTCAGCAACTGCGAAACAGGCAGCGAGTCAGCAGGGTGGGAGCATGCACCCATTGCATTCTGTAGTCTTTTTGCACCATTTTTTGCAAATTTTGCTGTAAGTGCTGACTTTGGGGTTTGTGCTTTGCTATGATCGCTCATCGCAAAGTTTCCATGAGGTTAAGATGGTAGAGCAGGTATCTTACTTATGAAGCGTTCAAGCACCACGTGCTTTTGGAGAACGACCTGTATGCAAGCAACACAATGTCGCAAATGAAGGACTTCATAGATCAAGCGTGCTTTGAGAGCATGAATTCTATCTTGCACAGCTGTCGCCTATGCCTGGGTGCAGCTGTGGGTCAGAGTGTTCCAGGCACTGACCTGCCCAATACCAGGTGCCATTTCCATCCCAACAAAGGACATGTGGCCATTTTGTAACCTTGCAGGAAAGCCCATAGTGGCATTAAACGCAAAGGATCACAGTTTTGTGCTGCTCTCGACTGCAATCCATGGAGGTAGGCACTACTGCGCATACCGTCAGCTCTGGCATGCAGGCAGCCAGAAGACTCGAGAGGACGCCGACCAAGCAGACTCCAAAGAACGCAAATTTCCGGCCTGCCAAGTCTGACAGTGTTCCCCAGGCATATGATCCAAAGATCATGCCAGCAAAATTTAGCGTTGTTATCAAGCTCTGCTCCTTCTCACTCAATCCCAGCTCGCACTTGATCTGCAAGTCGCCACACAACACAGCCACATTCACCATCATTTGATAAATCACGAGCTGTGTTTTTGTGTCAGGTTCCACTTAATTGAAACAATAGATTGATGCAGCGCATGGATATTTTCTGCTCTTGTTGAAGAAATTCTTTAGAGTATATTATCAGGGTGCAAATCAAGTGTGAATCTGGTGAGCGTTCCACTGTCTGGCAAACCACCTGAAGTTCTCCCAACACCACGCACATGGCAGCAATTCCGTTGCTGAAGACGCCAGCAGATATGTTCGGCTTGCTGTGTCTGCTGGTGTGCATTGCAAGGCTCCTTGCTTTGCCACATTGTTTCAAGTGAGACACATGTTTATGATTAATCAACACCAACTATTTGATCAGATGATATTGTCTTAGTCAGTCTTCTTCACACGTGCAGCAGGCTGTCGGCGCCAAGGCAAATCTGGTTGAGCTAAGCGAAGTTTCGCGGTGCTCACGTGAGATTGTAAGGAGCGACCATGCATCACAGATCCCGCAGGATGCCAGGGGGATCCGACCACCGAGTCGCATGACTGCAAACGGTATGGACATCTGACACCAACACCAACACAAAAATCTACCGCTGATGGCAAGCACTGGAGGTGTTGGTTGTGGTGGGTGGGAGCATGACACCTTGCAGAGCTGGCACTCTGGGCAATCTGATTAACATCAGCAAGGACATCACGCACGGCCACAAACGAATGCGTTGGAAAGATTTTGGTGCATGGCATCACGCTCGTCAACACTGCAAGGTGCAAGGTCATTGTTCTTAACGTTGTTCTGCCAATGCAAGCAATTGCCACCAATTTGGGACAGACGCAATCAACGCGATTCGTGCAACAGCCGCATCGACCAAGCATTCTTTCGGACCTGAACAACTTTGGCAGTTTTGCGACGCCGTGCACCTCTTGCCAGGCGGCACAAGGCCAACTTATCTTGGGATAAGACGGGGGAGGCGCTTGGACACTTA